CAATTATGCATCGTTAAGCATTTGAAGCTCCATTAGTTTTTTATTATTTCTTAAAAGCAGTATCTACGATTTGAATGATGACGATGATGCCTATGTGAAAAATTGCTTGCATATTTGACTATTACGTCATCATTATCTTGCTCATTTTTCTCTTTTGTGGCGTAGATAATGGACGTTATAGACAATTTTTAGTGATGTCGATGTTTATTTGTGACTGAGTAGTAATAACGAAAATTCATCTACTTTCGATTGTTAATAGTGTAATTAGCATTAGTAGATGTTGTTTTGAGAAGTAGTCTTGCTTCCTTTTTAAATACTTTTTTCTTTTTTCTATAATCATTTTTATTATTCAATCAATATGTTACCCTTTTCTGAGTTATTATCGTTGTCTTCGATTCATCCTGAAAACATAAAATAAAACATTCTCGTAATAAAATATCTTTTAAAACTGTACAAAATAAAATAAAATATATTCTAGCTCCATTCGACGATGACAATACATACAAAGCCAAGTTTTTATTAGTTGTAGTGAAAAACAAAATATGTACTATTCTACTTTTGATAATGATTCTAGAAATAAAATAAATGAAATGATATATGTATGAGGATCATCACTATATAATCAACATAAACATTAACTTATCAGAATGAATTTCTCGAGCAAATATAATTTTCTGAAAATCTGGAAACTATATAATTTTGGCAGAAAATGACTTGATAACAAATAATTATTTGAGAAATAAATTGAAAGAAGCTTGAAAGTTATTCAAGTTATTTCTTATTTTCATTCTATCATCTACTGAAAAAAACCCTTTATTAAACGTAATAAACATTCTTATTGTTAGAGACGTGTGCAATTTACTTATTGATTTTTCATGAGATAATCCATTATCAGATATATAAATTAGATATTATAAATTAGTTTGAACCAAATAAATTTTGTTTTACAACCGCTTTTTTCGTTACAGAAAAGCTGAAGTCTTGAAAAACTTGAACTGACTCTTACTACGCATGCACCCTTTCTGTCATTTATCTCTCAACACAGTTGAGAATATACAACATATATATAGTTAAAACAAATCGAGTTTAAAGTAGCAAAATCATTATCTTTCTTTAGTTGGAACTGGTTTTCTAACTCGTGTAAACACATTCCTTTTACTGTTTAAGTTTGAAAATTAAAAAAATACATTGAAACAGATAACATATTTGTTTTCACTAGATTCAGGCCCGTTATTCTAAAAATTTTCTTTTGAACACGCTGGAACTGTCGTTCGCTTGATAAAATTATCTTCTGAATCATCTAAGTTTCGAAGAAGAAGAACATATGTGTGTGTGAAATTTTACTTACGAGCAAGTTTACCACCATCATAAGTATCATTTAAACTTGAACTTGGATGAACTTTTGAATGTTCTAAATACGAGTCTCCAGTTTACAAATCTCAAAAACGATATTAGCATCCTGTCTAACATTGATTATATTGAAAATTATTTTCGTCCTACTTCAACTGTTTAACATACTCGAAAGTTTAGATTCGATCCCTAAAAATGACATAAACAATATTTTCGTTAAATGTTCGTTCATATAACAAAAACTGTCATACATTTTTTAGCTGTCATCTTCACTCCTTCACCAGATATAGCTACACCATGAGCTATTGGTTCATTTATATTTTTTTGCAGTATGACTGCGCATCTCATCTGTGCCCTAAAAGAAACAGTGCAATATTATAAATGCAGAGAAGAATAGTTCTAAATAATTATTTCTAAAAAATGTCGACTTGCTTCCACAGGAAAAGCAGACACATGCAAATCTACTTTCTTCTTATAACGGAAAAGCTCGATTAACCGACGTTTAAGCGCCCGACATTTGAGCGCCCGACACTTGCGCGACCCCGACATTTGAGCGGCCCACATTTGAGCGACCGACACTAGAGCGACCGACATCTGAGTAATAACGACAGTTCAGCACCAAGTGCTCACCCTCACCCCCACTCACCCTCACCCTACACAGCCTCACCCTCTACAGATCAATAATTCAGTTCATAATCGGACGACAAAAAAAATTGTTCTGATCATCGTTATCGAAGTGAATAATCATTTGGCTTTCCTGATCGGCAAAAAGTCATATTGAAAAGTGTCTAATGTCGGAGTCGTTCAAATGTCGGGCGCTCAAATGTCGGCGCTCAAACGTCGATTGACGGAAAAGCTCACCAATGAAAATAATGATAATTCCAATGCCATCCTGTTATTCTACATTTGTATATGATAGAACTCGAGTGTTTACTGTGTCTGATGACTACAGTAGTTTTAAAAAAATTAAAAAATCCAAATGTTATTAACGTTTATAGTAAAAACATCGAACTAAGCGCATCGTTTTCAAACGGTATTTCGATAGGCTACAAACTATTGTGTAAACTCAGTTAGTGTCTTGTGAGTACTAGTAAACAGATAAACGTTCATTTTCATCTTTTTTTACCGTTTCTTGTTTTTCTCCTGCCTTTTCCGCCATTTTTGTTGTAATCATTCTTGATGCTTCAACAGTTCCTTTGCCTGATGCTTGTTTTTCCGCTTCAAGTTGGTCTGGCATTTTTAATTGTGTTTCATTATCTGGACCCAAATCAACTAATCTGGAAGAGAAAGTAAGAAAAACCACACACTTATATTTATATTTTATAAAACTGAATAGATTCAAGTAACGAGTGGGCCATAAAGAACGGCGGTCTTTGCTAACCAACTTTTCGCCGTTAAGCTCCCTCGAGTTCATTTTTTTTGCAAAAGATTCGCTACTTCATTCTCTACAAAAGAAAATACAATTCTTTATGGTCCACTTGTTATAAGCTGTGATTAATTTCTCTTTCTGTTATTTACCTCATGAACTCATCGTCACAACGGCCAAAACAGAGATCGATACCTCCAATGAATGCAATTTTTTGATCGATAATAACCATTTTTCCATGATGTGACCACAAAAATACACTGCCAGCTGGATAATGATCAGGATGTCTAATAATCTATAACAAACAAAAAGTATTGAAATAGTGTTAAATTCCTTTTTGCATACTTTGAGATTCTTTTTATTTTTTGAAATAAGCGCTCAATTTGTATGTAAACTATTCAAACCCATTGTATATGAAAATTCTTTAAATATTAAAACATAAACTCTTCTAGAACGGCAAGTCCACCGAATTTCTTATAGTCTGATGGGATTGTGTTTTTTTTAGATTTGTTTCTTTTTTGTATAATCGTTTTGAATTTATTATTAACTGTCTTATTATTGTTTTTCTTAATGTCAAGCAGCTTTTCTTTCGATATAAGAAATGAAAATGCCGAAGAGCATGAATCATATTATCGAAAAAGATAATTACTGCATTCATGAAAATGTGTGATGGGTATTTTTTATTAGTTAATAAAAATTTAACAAATCGTCATTTAGTAGCCTCATCAGAAGCAGTCGATGAAGATAAATTAGATGATGACTGCGAAATATCCGAAAAGTCATTCGAAATAACAAGAAAACT